ACGAACCTGTGTCCCCTGCATCGGCAGGCGGACTCTCAACCACTGTACCACCAGGGAAGCCCCAAAGTTTATAATTTGACCTAGGTTTTATAGCTAAAAAGTACAGAGTCCATATTTGAACCCAACTAGTCTGGCTTCAGAGGTTTACTCTTAACTGCTACTCTCTATTTGCTTCTCACTAGCACATTTGATCAGTCAGATACCAGTTTGACAATTTGGAGGAAAACAATCACACTAGATACTTGATTTTTCTAAGATGCATAAAGAAACATTTTAACATCATCTCTCATATTGAGATAAGCCTTAAAATAGATTCAGTAATACTACTTGAGAGTTTTAAAAGGTATCAGATGAGATTATGTATGTAAAGTACATATTACTGTATTATATGGGTGTGAAATGTTAACAGCTTCTTACCTTTTTGTCTATTCTTTCTCCCAAGTAATTTCATTTCATTTGAGTAGGAAATGTTGGCTCTAGGGATAGAGCAGTGAAGAAAACAAAAGCTGTATCATGGATCTTGCATTCTAGTGGGATGAGACACAAAGAGATATATAATGTATCAATGATAGGTGCTGAGTAAGGAGATGTAGTGGGGCTGGGCAGTGCTATTTAGTGATATTCAGGGAAAGCTCTAAGGAGGTGACATATGGGCAGGAACCTAAATAACATGAAGGAATAAGCCATGTGCATGCATAGCTAGGAAAAGAGTATACCAGAAAGAGGCGACACTAAATGTAAAATGCCTGAGTCTGCTTGGCATTTTTGGGAAATAGTCAGGGGCTGGAATGGAGTTAGTGAAGACCTGAATAGTAGGGCATGGTATCAGAACAGCAGCAAGGGGCAAGATCATACAAGGCTGTGATGACCATGTTAGGAATTTGGATTTTATTCTGAGATGGAGAGCTACTGTAGAGTTTTCAGAAAAGGAATGAAGTGCTCCAACTTAGTTTTAAAAGAACCACCAGCCGCTATGTGAAGGAAACATTGTGAGGGGTGGGACACTAAAGGTGGAAGTAGAGAGATCAGGAGGCCATTGCATAGTGCATTTCTAGGCAGGAGATGCTGGTTTGGAATAGGGTGATAGCTGTGAAGGTGGTGAAAACTGGTTGGATTCTGGCTACATTTTGAAGGTAGAGCCAACATAATTTGCCATTGATTAGATACAAAGTGTGAGAGAAAGGAAAGAGTCAGGGATGACTTCAGCGCATTTGGCCTGAGCTACTGGAAGGACAGAATTGTCAGTTTCTAAGGTAGAAAATATAATTGGGGGTGAAGATCTTGAGTTTGAGTTGAACTTACTAAATTAAAATTTCTCTTAGACATGTTAGGTGTAGGCACTGGATAAAAAAGCCTAGAGGAGTAGCCCAGGTTGGAGATACTAGTTTGGGAGGCATCAAATAAGGATTTCTGAATATCACTTCCATCTGTGTGTGTGTATGAGAGTGAGAGAGAGACACAAACACATACTTAATGTGAGTGAAGAAATTATTGATATAGTAATATATTAAAGTGATTTTTTAAAATGTCAGCATTTAATGACTTTACAAGTGAAAGTTACATTTATTTCAAAAATATTTAATATAGATGTATATATGTACCTTTATATTTTAAGTGCACAAATATATAAGTTTTATTTTTATGGAGCAAAAACTGAAGTGTAAAATACAGCAAAATCTCTTGCTACTTAGGAGTGGAAACCTTGTAATTGCTATAAATAACTGTATTCCTGATTATTAGAACTTAGAGTTATTTGTATAAACATCTGATTTTTTTTGTGTGTGGTTTTTAAGGTAATGCTATGGGCTATGTACGGATGATAAGATCTGGTGGCCTTCATTGTAGCAGCAATGCCATTAGGTATGGATGCAAACATATTTTTGCCATTTAGAAATTTTATGTCATTTAAATATGTCTTTTTTATAAGTAATATTGTAGAGAGGGTTTTTTCTTTTTTTGTTGATATATTTTGAGATCAAATATGGAAGAAAATCATTAGTTGTACTAGTTAAATTTTTTCTCAGATTTTAAGACTACAGCACACTGTTGAAAAGCTTTATTTAGTTAACTTATAACTTATAAATAAAGCTCATAGTTAACTTAAAGTTATAGTTAATTTCTTTTATTGGTACAGTTTGTGAATGGTTCTATAGATTACATGATTTTTAAGCATAATTTGAATTATTCATATATCTAAAATTCAGTTATGGAACTAAAGTGGTGATATTAATAATATAACTGAAATGCAAAATTATTTCCAAAGATACAGTTGAAAAATTTAGAGTCTTACAGTATTGCTTTCATGTCTGTGTCAGTTGCACATATTTAGCTTAATAAATTCCTTCCCAAATTCTTATGTAGATTTGTACCTGATCTTGAAGATATTGTAAATTTTGAAGAACTAGTAAAAGAAGAAGGTCTTGCAGAAGAAACATTAAAAGCAGCTAGGTAATCTAATTTTGGAATAATTTAAATTTGGAGATTTGAAAAGTATATGTTCATTTAAATGTTAAAGACAAGACTAGAGGGTAATATATAAACTTATATGTCCGTGTTTTAACTATGCAAGTAATGGTCTCAGTTTATGAAATATAATTTTTTCAAGACTACAGTATTCTGATGCCTTTCCAACTTCCCTAAAAGGAATCTTCTAGACCATGGGTTTCTAATACATGTGACTGTTGAACACCTGATATGTGGCTAGTCCGAATTGAAATGTGCTAAAGTGTAAAGTTCATAACTGATTTTGACGATTTAGTGTTTAAAAAAGAATGCCAAATATCTCATTAATAAAATTCATTTCACTTATTTCTTTTTCCTCTTTTTAAATATTTCTATTTGCCAGCTAGTATTTCTAGAATACTCGTCCTTCCTTTCATGTAATCTATAGCAGCAGTGTCCAGTACAGTAGTCACTACTGTTGAATACTGGAAATAGGGCTAATGGGACTAGGGAACTGAATTAAAATTTTTATTTCATTTAAATTTAAATAGCTAATGACTATCTTATTGGACAGTGCAGATCTACAGACTTGAGTAAATGGTGATTTTGGAAAACAATTTAAAACTTGAGGGGGCATGCAGAATTGTTAAGAAAGTCTTTAGAAAACTAAGTTATAGTATTAATAGTTGTAACACTTATTGAGTCAGGCATGAAAGGGCACCCCTGGGCAAAGTGGAGACAATTTGAATATCAAAAAGAGTAATGGTAGAAATTGCTTATAATACACTGAATTAAAAAAGAGACCGTGAGTATAGTGATAATAAGAAAAGTTGGAGAAGCAGAGGGAAAGTTCCTTTTTACAGTGCTAGCCAGCTAGTAAATGCAGAAGGGATGAGAAAATTTAGGGAAAAAAAAACAGTTTTGCAACCATCACTGTAATACTTGAAATGAGACAAATCGTCAGTGGGTTCTCAAACATTTTTGGAGAACAGAGTATTCATTCACTATGAAAAAATTATCTCAGAAATTGATTCTTAATCACAAAGGGATAAAACATCTTCACAATGCAGAGACTGATGTATTCCACCTTAACCAAGTGATCAAACTTAGCACTACCAGTAACAGGACATGCTGACATTATAGGGCCCCCTGATGTAATGTAATGGCAAGTACCTATTTTGTATTCTCGCCCAAAATGTTTACTCATCAAGTGAAGGAAAGTTCATGGCAGGTGAAGTCATGGAGTTATGAGGTTATGATAATGAATTGATTATCTAAGTGGACATTAAGTCTTCCAGAATGATGGAGGAGAACTGGAGTAGGTCTCATAGTCCAAGATAAACAAATGTAGAGCAGTGGTTAAAACTGTTAGATGCCTGCTTTCGGGAGGGGGTAGTTGGATATAGTTGGATCATGAGTCTCAAAGGAGAGATTTCTAAGATCGTCTAGTGGTGGGGGAATAATAATTTGAAAGTGGTAATAGCTATACCTAAGGGATGTAGGAGAAAAAGCAGTTAATGTTTCTGAAGGTTGAGTGGGAAGCTAAGTTCTTCAAAGGGAGATGGGTTTCAGCTGAGGTAAGGAGGTATAGAAGAAGTGTTAGTGAAGAGATTTAAGATGAAAAGGAATTTATTCACAATGAAATGGAATTCTATAGGGCTCATTGTGAGAAGAAGAAATAGAAAATTCTATAAAGTTCCAAGAGGCCCTACATATTCTGTTTTAGGGACTAAGTTAATTAAATCATATTGATTAGCCTCTGTCCATAAAAAAATGAGTTCATTCTGAACCCCAAGAAAGTTTACTTAGAGATGTCTTATATTTCACATTTTTGAGTGCTCTCATCTCAACTAATGAGAAGCCACATCTTCTTTTGAGAAAGAAACCAAGTAAATAATTTTTTTGCATTTTAGGCATTTGGATTCAGTCCTCAGTGATCACACACGAAATTCTGCCGAAGGCACAGAGTATTTCAAAATGCTTGTGGATGTTTTTGCTCCAGAATTTCGAAGGCCGAAGAATATACATCTCCGAAATTTCCATATCATTGTTCCACCTCTGGTGAGTATTTTTAGTACCCAAAACGAATTTTTTGAAAAAGTATTAATAAATAGATCCAGTTTTTTTTACGGCAGGAAATGCAAACTATATTGTTGACTTTCTGGTTGTAGATAAAACTAAACGTGGTCTCAGTGAATGCGGCCTAGAATTTTTACTTATTAGCTATGTAGAATGAGACTTATTCATAGTTCAGATAGATTCTTATTTGTTCTTAACAGCCAGAGAAATCCTAGTGTGATTTAAATTACTTGAACATACACTATTTTACACACACACACACACACACCCACCCATATAATCTTTGGGCTGAATTATACCATATAGTCATTTTAAGTGATTAGTGTAGACTGTTACAATATGAAGTATTTCTTAAAAGCATACTATTTGAGGACAACTTCTGTCTTTTTGGTAGTAAATATGAACATCTAAGCTAAAATTTTAGTGCTTTCTTGTTGTAGTATATGGTATGTTTTGCTCTAATTCTGTAGTTGGCATCTTAAAAATAGCTCAAGTTAACCAAAATTGCAATATAAAAACAATTGTCACAGTGGGGAAAATGGAGTTAAGAGATTAGAGAGGTATATATTAGCAATAAGAGTTATTTTTCTATAAAGTTTTCTGTAACAAAGCTCTTAAAAAATTTGTAAATGGAGAGCTCTAAAATCTAAATATCACTGAGCGGACGTAGCTTTTGATTACATCTAACTTTGATCGAGTTATAACTTTTCACGTTGCTGCCTGAATTAACACATATGTTCTAACATATTAGAACCATTATTATCCATTGAAAGCAGCTGATGGTCTATGGACAGCTTTTTTCTTCACGCATTTTCCTTTCCACTGTTTTCTTTATACGTTAATTGTTAATGCTCTATTATAATAATTGTTATGTAGCAAAAATGTCCAGTTATCTGATAGACATTATCTTTTCATCTTCAGATATGAATAGAAGTGTCAGATTGGAAGCGAGTCTATCTTAGTTATACTTTGATAATAGTGTAGTTAACTCATGGTGAGTTCTCACCATCTTTCTTTAATTTGAAGTCATGGTAAACAGAAATGGCAAACCGTTGTGGGATTGAGGAAGAGTCTAGTTTTGCAGAGCTGCTGTCAGAATTCAGTTAGTGATGGAGAAAACAAGAGGGATTACAAACACTACAAAGAAGAGAAGTATAGGACACTATTCTTGTGTCCTTGAGTTTATAATCTAATTCCAGAAAGAAGACAAACATAAATGAGATATCTAAAGATTTAAGTAACAGTTGACAAAGATTTTATAAAATGTGATTAATTGCCAAGTAAGTTTTACAGGCAAAAAAAAGTGGAACTTGATAATCTAGTTTACAATGTAGGCTATTATAGTACTTATCACACTGTACCATAATTTTTAAACAGGTCTCTCTATTATCCCAGTGCTGTGCTGTCCTTTTGTAGCCCCTAATGGCTACTTAAATGTAAATTAGTTAAAATTTTATGAAGAAATTCAGTTCCGTTCCTAAGTTTTACCATACACATTTTAAGTGCACAGTGGCCATATGTGGCTGGTGGCTTACTGTATCGGACAGTGTAGATACACAGCATTTCTGTCATTGCCAAGAGTGCTGCTCTATAGAGTGTGAACTCTTTGATGGTATTCATTTTTTTATTGTAATTATTTAATAATGCCTGGTATTATTAAGTTTCAGTAAATATTTGTTGAATAAATGCTATGATTAGATAAGGTATTTCAGAGGAGCTAAACTTTTAGGGAAGTGCTTTTTTGGGGGGGAATTTGTTTATCCAAATGACTACTAAGCCTTTTAAACCGAGAATATGGTAAGAACTACTATTGTAGGATGAATTGGGTGGGCAGAAGTAAGGACTGCCATGCTTAAGAGTGCTTAAGCTTTTAAGTAAAGCAGGCCTACTTTTCTGACTACAACTTTGATTTAGAGTATGACTTGAGGCAAGTTCATAAACCACTCAAGTCTCAGTGCCTTCATTTGTTAAATGTGCATAATATTTTAGAATGAACCATACACAAAAGTACTGTGCTTGAGTTAAGTGGTGATTGAGGGACTGCTCATATTTAAAGGACTTGGAAAGAAGAGCCATTAAGAGATACTTACACAGATTATGACCTCACCAAGAGGCTATTTATATGAGGGAAATGTTTCAAATCAAAAGGACAGGAGCTTAGAAGAGATCCTGTTTATAATTTTTGAAATGTCTGTTTTAGGAACTGAAGATTTTTTAGCACAATTGTTTCTCTAATATGTTGTTATATCCTTTTAGACCCTCAACTTTGTAGAGCATTCCATTAGTTGCAAGGAGAAATTGAATAAAAAAAATAAAATTGGAGCTGCCTTTACTGATGATGGCTTTGCCATGGGTAAGCTTAGTGGAATTGTTTTCTCATGAATTTTATGTTTACCTTACCTTACCTTATTTTTCAGAATGTTTGCTTGAGAATAGAGCTATGTGCTCTTTGTAGATTTGTTTTTCACGAGCAGTGTTTACTGTATTTTTTGGCTGGGTCATCTGATTGACCATTATTTATACTGTTGTTCATGCTCCTTTGGTATTGCTAATCACTTAGAGTGGTTGGACCTAATTATTTAGGCTTTGTTTTTGTTGTGCTTTTATTTAAAGTTTGAGCATTTGTATTTAGTTTCCTGTAGCTTCCTAGTTGTTGTCTATTTAGCAGTGGAAGTTTTTCCCCACCTTTACAGCCATATGTTATCTCCAGGTGATTTTCATAGCCATGTTATTTTTTCTTGATTGGCCTTTTTTTTAGTTCTTAAGTTTTTAAGGAGGAATTAAGCCATGTTGCTAAACTTATTCATTTGTGCTGTAAAATGTAATTTGAAAGAGGATTAATTTAAAATGGTTAGCTTAATTTTAGGAATTATTGGTGGAGTAGAATATAACTTGTCTACACATTGTAATTTTGTTTTGGTTTTGCTGGTGACTCTAGGTGTGGCTTATATTCTGAAGCTTTTGGATCAGTATCAGGAATTTGACTCACTTCACTGGTTCCAGTCTGTTAGAGAGAAGTACCTGAAGGAGATAAGAGCAGTTGCTAAGCAACAGAATGTGCAGTCAACTAGTCAGGATGAAAAACTACTACAAACCATGAATCTCACTCAGAAGCGACTGGATGTTTATTTACAGGTAGACGAGAGTAACAGTCAGATCGGCTTTGACTTTTTAATATCCATTACTTCTTGATCACTGAAGAAACATAAATCATGTTGAAACTCCCATTTTAACAAGTGAGATGAATAGTGGTCATAAGAGTATATTTTTATTTATTTATTTTTTTTTTTTTTTCCTTGCGGTACGCGGGCCTCTCACTGCTGTAGCCTCTCCCGTTGTGGAGCGCAGGCTCCGGACGCACAGGCTCAGTGGCCATGGCTCACGGGCCCAGCCGCTCCGCGG